TCAACAAACATGCGCTGTGCGACAATGTGATGGTAGTCCACACAAGCAGATTCAGGCATTTGCATTACAATACAAAAGAAGACGCACGGAACTAAAAACGTTGAGACCATAAAATCACCCTATCACCGCATCCACCTTTACTGCGGATGCCTCGCCGAAGATCGTCTCGAAAGTCTTGAAAGTCTGGTGGCCTAATATCGCAAAGATCACATGATCAAACGAGTGTTTAAATCGGGCACCCTCCCCGATTAAAAGCTCGGTCCAGATACTGGCGACGAGTTCAACCCTGTTTCTGAAAACACCAGTTCCAAAGCTTCCAAGAACCAGGTTCCTCATCCCTTGTTTCTCGAAGAGGTAGAGAATCCTCGCCATCCGCTCCTTCATCGCCGCATCCAATTTACTCTCGTCCGCACTCCCAATTTCACGCAAATATCGGCGGACAACACCAGCGTTGACGGCGGGACTAGTCACGATGTCCACCTCGATTGGACTTTTCCAATTTCCCAGATCGTCGCGGAAGAAGACGACTCTGGGAGAATAAATCATAGCGTGACTGTAATAACCTTCCCGAGGGTCCTTGTTGTGGATTCGATAGAATTTAGCCCCTTCCTCATTTATCAAGCTGGGATACAGCGAAGATGACCGAGCAATCGATTCTTCCTATGTGAACAAAAGTGGATAAACGATCAATCTCATCATGGTTGGAAAATGGCGAACCTGAGCTTGAGCTCCCCTAATGAAGCCTCCACCAGCGTTCTTAGCTGAGGCAAAATTGAGAACACCAATTCTCTTGTTCTCAGAGGGATCCAAAAGCAAGGATTCGTAAAGATTTCGTGTTCCTTCCAATGTTGAGCATTCCGCCAGCAATATCTGGGTGACTGCCGTTGTGGTGCTTGGAGTGACACCAGCCCAATCGCCCAGGTCAGAATTTGGAGGGTAGAAGGTCGTGTGTTCTTTCATGTAATTGACGCTTTCCTTAAGATCGTAGACCGCCCCATCCTCA